TCTCATCAAAAACGGGAAGTTTTCAGTCATTATTCCCTCATTCTCTCAGTTCCTTTCCTCTCCCTGCCCCACACCAGCACCTACTGTCAACTTATTCCATCGTCCACACCCTTTGTTTTCTGTCTACCTTTCTTCCCCAACTCAGTAGTCTAAGGGTTTGGCTTCTATAATTTCTTCACAAGGAAATAATGAATAATTAAATCTAGAAGAATGTAATACCCTTTACAGGGCCAAACAAAATATATTTTTCTCTTTTAATGCAATGGTCCTAGAAAAACAAATGCACAGAGAATACAACACTTCCTGCTAGGAATGAAGGCTTTAAAAATAAAATAGCAGTGAGTTACTATTTAACTGTTTTGAATAGCTGTGGTTTGTCAATGTTTTGTCCAGAGAAAATGACTGTTTCTGCTAAGTCATTTTAGACAAAATCCCGACGATTACTCAAGGTTACCTAGAACATGTTTCTCTATGGCAATCAGCTACCCAATCTCTGAAGTGTCTTACTAAATATATATTACTCATGGCAATGGTATTTGAGGATAGTAATTTTAATGTTACTAATTTTCTAAACATAACCAGTCACCTTTGTTTGAAATACAGGAAGTTAACACAAAAAGAAAACACAAACAGTAACTTTATAGGAAAACTGACACCTAAGTAGTAACAATGTTTATGAGGCAGACTGTGCCAGGAACTTCTCTGCACTATATCCATCAGCAACCATACTACTCTCACTCTAAATTCTGCAGCTTGTCTGAAGACAAATCTTCACCCTCTGGGATGACTATGGTCAGGGAATTGCCTACATTACTTAAGTGGGACAACAGCACCTGAAACATTGTGTTTGTGAAGCAATTTGGAGATAAGTGTAGCATACATGTCACATTGGGCTTCCTGTGCCTGGGGTTGTGATTTTGAAAAGGAATACAGTTCACCATATAGACAGGCTTCTAGGAGCCAGAGAGCAGCTCTTCAGAGACAGCAATGGCAAGCAGCCATTGCATGGGGGCATTTTAGCCTTGCTACTTTTGTTAAGTTGGATATAAAAGTTCTAAACTACAAAGTTAAGACTTAAAAACTCACTCTACTACACTATGCATTTTGCATTGTAGAGAAACCAGGAGATATGCAAAATATTTCTGTCAACATACTGAATATATAATTTAGAAAAAGTTTATTAAAAATGAAACAAAAACATTTGTTAGCCAGGTATGATGAAAGGAGCCTTCAGTCCTAGAACTTGAGAGGCAAAGGCAGACAGACTCTCTGTGAGTCTGAGGCCAGCCTGCCCTATATAAAAGTTCCTGATCCCCAGGATAATGCAGAGAGACCTATCTCAAAAAACAAAACAGAACATTTATTTTATGTGTTTATGTACATGTGTGTGCACAGGGCTCAAAGGAAAACCTGTAGTTGGTTTTCTTCCACTATGTTGGTTCCAGGGATGAAATTCACATCACTGGACTTAGTGGTAGCATCTTTACAGATGAGCCATCTTGTAGGCCTGAAAAAAGATTCTTGTTGGTTCTAAATTTAAAATGTCCCAGAAGATAACTAAGGTGAAATTACTTAGGCATGAGCTTCCAATTTTGTTCTTTAAAACAGAGACTTACACAGTTTTTAAGAATAAGAGTGGGTGTTATATAGTATCAAAGACCAGACAGCTTTGCGTTTGGTGTGTCCAGGACATCCAAGTACACAGCTTCTCCATCACTCTCACAACACTTCCTTAACAAGCAGAATTGTGCCCTCAGGTGATCACCACTCTTGGGCAGATGAAAGGAAGGCAAGAAGCAGTCGTCTATGACAGAGCATGTTCCCTACAACTAACAGACTGGCATTTAACAGACATGAGAATCAGCCTGGGGACCCTTCTGATGAAGAGAAACCAGAGATAGCAAGGCTTGGTTCACTCCTTCTCCCCAGAGTAAGGGTTATCAGGCACATCAGGAATGCACCTATCATGCCTCTACGCATAACACTTACCGACACTTCAAAGACAGGCCAGAGTGCATAGCAGTCTATATACTATTAAAACCTGAGTGACTTTGGCGATGAAAGAAAATAAAGGCTTCACATAGAAAGATAAAATCAGGAGCAACACAACTCTGGAACATTGACTGTGTGGACTCATTTCAAATGGGTTTGGTCATTTGCTAAAACAACCTAAGGAAAGGTGGCCTGCTTTCCTGAAAGAGCATACATGTCAGCATGTCCATGTCCTCTGGATTCGAAGTTCCTTTTCTGGGTGCCACTGCCAGACCAACAGCAATGCTACACAAACAGGTCTTCACTTTCCACCTACATGGCAATGACCTGAAACCTTGTCAAGGGAGTCTGAGGGTAGAGGATGCACACTGATTGTCACTAGTGCACTCCCAGTGAGAGGCTCAGGTCTTCCTCGTTACCTTCTCACAAGGAGCTTCTACTTTTCTGTGCACTCATTCACCTTCTATGTGGGCACTAACTAGCTTTTGGTAGACAGAAAAGTTCAATTTACATATTATCTCCTCACAGTAGGCAAGGGAAAGAGAATTTACTTTTCGTTTTTTTTGTTTGTTTGTTTGTTTGTTTGTACTATTTTTGAGTCAAGAGTCTCACTATGTGGCAATGGCTGGTCTGGAACTCAAAATGCAGATTGGGTCAGCCTCAAACTCACAAATATCCATCTGCCTTTGCCTCCCAAGAACTGAGAATAAAGGTGGATGCCACCACGCTCAGTGAGACTTTACACCCTTAATAAAAACTTATTTGTAGAAAGGACATTTAGAGACTTAAAGGAGAACAGTACTATTAAAATTTGGTTTTTGATGTCAGTTCAACAATGGAACAAGGTCTGAGTGCTACTTGGCTGCTTACCACTGAGCGCAAACAACTGTAAGAATGCCCTCTCCAGAGCAGGAAACACATACTCTAGCAACAAGATTTCCTAGTCATTAGCTGTGTCCCTTGAGATGTCCCTGAGGTTGGGTACAGCGAAGTGTGGAAGCAGGAAGGTATGTGAGATTCTTCACTCACTAGTGAACATCAAATCCACAGCTCCTTGCTGTAGGGGTCTGTGAATAACCTGTGGAACCTCCCTTCCACAGCTTCTCTGTGATGCCCTTTGGTTACTGTTACAAGTTGGGTTCCTCATGAAGAAACATAACAGAAAAAAGCATTCCAAATTCTCAGATTCACCAAGATATGACTGCGGTGGATAGGGTTAACTGTCACCTTTACAAAATTAGAATCACCAGGGAGACCGGGCTCTGGGGCACACCAGGAAGAGATTGCCTTGACTATGTTAACTGGGGTTGGTAGCTTAGGTCCCTGGCTACAATGTGGACTCAGCTCAGAAAGGAAACTGAGCAGGAGCACACAGGGCTTTCTGCTTTCTGACTGTGACAATGTGGCAGCTGTCTCAAGCTCCTGCTGCCCTGACTTCCTTACCATGACAGACTGTTCCTTGAACTGTGAGCTAAAACAAATACCTTCTCTCTTCAGTTGCTTTTATCATGGCCAAAAGAAAGAAAATAAGTAAATGGAAATATGGTTCCAGTTTCCCAAAGCAGGATTCCAAAATGCACCCAAGAGTAGTTAAAAACTCTGTGAAGTTCTGTAGAAACCATTCCTGCTCACTGAGGGTTTCTCACTTTAAAAAAAAAAAAAATGCTTCTCTCACCTATGACTAAGATATTACAAACAGAAAGGTGTCTTGAAACACATTTTGGTCACACTTCCCTGAATCCATGGACCCCAGGATAAGAGATATACTTCAGGGAGCAGGACCACAAAGATACCTGGGATGGGTTAGCAGAAAAGGTCAACTGATGAAGGAGTTTTATGTGACCTATTTAGCAACCATGGCAGACAAAATTGAAGCACCTGACTTGACCAAAGGTCGATCATGGAACAATTCCCAGAGAAGACATATAACTCAAGTCTTAAAGGGTGAAGGAGCTGGAAATAAATCCTAAGATGGCTACCAACTTAGCACTCAGCTGCTCACCTAACTCATTACTCAAGATCAGACAGGACAGCACCTTTTAACAGTTGATTAGCAGTACTACGTGCTCATCACCAGGATTAACACAACACAGCAGCACCCATCTCTTCCTCAAGAAAATACCATTGAAAGAAGCATGTTGTCCAAGCAGAGAGGGGGCTCAGGTGGGAATCTAGATTTTTTAATTAGGACAAAGGATTTAGCCATGGAGTCAGACAAACCTAGGGTTGCCCTGGCCCTAGCACACATGAGCTGGGGGAGTTCTGACTGCAACTTCAGCTCTTGAGCAGCTTCAGTCTCCTCATCTGTAAAACTGAAACAATTATTCCCAACTCTTAAGAAAACTGTGCAGGAGACTGGAAAGGCAGGATGTGGAATGCAGAAGGCACTCAATGATTAAAATCTAGGAGCATGAGGTACAGCAGAATGCTAACACCTACAATGTGCATATTGATTCCTCATTCAAATTTAGAACATGGCTAGTACCTCAGAGATTCCCAGGTGCCTTTCTAACAATAGTCACGTCCCCAGCTCCCATAACCACTCTTCTGTCTACTTATCACAGAGGAATCATCTAACACAGGTGCGTTTTATATCCAGTTTCTATCAGACTATCAATCTCTTGCACACAGCAGTTCATTTCCTTTACTGTGTTCTGTGACAAGCACAAGAACAATTTTTCTATTTAAGTACTGATAAACACCTAGTTTATTTCAGTTTGAAAATACTTAGAAATGGTACTGCTGTGACAATTCTGGCACACATCTGCTACCAGACACATGCACACATTGGAGATCCACCTAATGTACACTGGTGGCTTCCAGAGCAGGTATACATTCATCAGTGTTGGCCAACACTGACAGCCTACACCCCACAGCATGCAGTAAAGCTCAAGCTGTTGCATATCCCTGCCATCAATCATTTACCTCCTCAGCCCCTGGGATGGTGTACTGGATGGAGGCTTCTTACTGTAGAGCTCTCTTTAATGGCCACTGGTTTTTTCTTTTTCTTTTTTTTTTGTGAAGTTGTAAGCCAAGACTTTTGCCTGTTTTTGAAAACTGATTATCTTTTCTTAGGTGTTTTATAGAACACTTGTCATATTACTCAAGTCCAAAGTCAGATACACTGAAGGCAAATAATGTTCAAGTCTATTTATAGCTTGTGCTTCCAATGGGCAGTTAGGTATATTTTAAAGAACTCTATCTCCCTCAGTATAACAATCATATCTCCCATGACTGTTTCAATGCTCACAGTGAGGGCTATGATTCCCCATGAATTAACACTGCTGAATGGTGAAAGGGAAGGGTCTAGGGCATTCTGCAGCCCCCACCTCTCCTCCCCAAGAGATAGCTCTGCTGCAGTCCCATTAGCATGAGACTTTCTGTCTGAATTAGGGGCCTGTGGTAGTATTTCTGCACTCTCCATTTTGCTCTGGATGTCATTCCTGGAGTATCAGCAACTCGAGCAATCACAGATGAAAACTTACCTTTCTTGTAGGGACTAAGAGCCATAATAAGCTATAAGCACAAGAACACTTACTTGCTAAGGAGCTATGTGCAGGGTGCTTTATACACATGACGATATTTCAGTCACTACAGCCCGGGAGGAGTGGTAGAGACTCAAAGTTAGTGAGATATCTGGAGTGAAGAAGTAATAGACAGTAAGTCCAGGTCTGTTTGGCCCTAGAGCAGACACACCTGCCACTATGCCATGTTTCCTCAGCAAAGATTACGTGTTATTAGTCCTATAAAGGCTTGCATTTCTCCATGTAAATAAATTCTATTTTTTAAAAAAACAAATGTAGTCTTTCAACACAAGGGGAGATTTAGAGATGAGATAGATTAAAGAGAGTGTGTGTGGGGGTCATAAAATACACACGACAACCCAGCTTGGGTTCTCTTTCTATCCCTGTCCGCACCCAATCCCCCCAATAAAAACAATATATTAAAAAACCCACATCAAGGACTACTGATCAAAACATAGATCAAAAAAGAATGAAAAGAAAAACATTGCAAATAAAGTTCAGCTGTTCCTATTTGGGAACAACAACAAAAAAATCCCACTTGCCACAATAAACTGACAAATAAGAAATTGACTCTGCGGTAGTGAAGCTGGAATTTTCCGATGGCACTAGCTACTCTGTCATTACTGTGGGTGACCCAAGAGTGAGTGGGGGCGATGAACAGCTGGGAGCTGGCTGGGCTCACATCCGTGACCCAGAGAGTACCCCAGTGCAGGCCTGAAGGGTTAGGCTTCCCTCTGAGCCATGGCTTTCCCCTACCAATGGAAATCCCTGTTAGTTGCATAAGCTGCTTCCAAAGAATACCCCACTCTGTTAAGCCAGCCTGGTCTTCCCATCTGCAGGTGATGGAAGAAGCAGAAATCTTTTACAGCAAGGTCTATGGATTTCTCATGGGAAAGGATGGACATTTATAGACTCTCAGGACCCACCCTAATACCTTTTGGATGCTCAAGGACACTACATACCCAGTTTATAGTTTTATCAGGAACATCCAAATATGTACTTTGTGTGTGCACCATGTGCATGTGCTCAAGACCGCGTGCGCGAACGAACACACACACACACACACACACACACACACACACACACACAC